TTGTAACACTTGCTAATGAAGTGAGGTTGGAGAGCAAAGCAAACACCCTCCACTAGCACGTCCCCTGGGACCGCTGTATGTTGTGGGAAGCCCCATGTCCCTTGAAGCCAAGAACGTTCTCTCAGGATAGGCAACATGTGCTACTACCATCACTGCTTTTAATTTATCGCCGCCTGGAAAGCCTTCCTGAATGATTATGAAACCAAGTTCTGAGCCCCAAAATAAGCTCCCATCCCAACCAACCATGACTGAAAACACTCCTCACATGGCAAACAGCTCGCCACTGAGGCTGCGACCAACAGCTCATGGCTAAGAGAGTTCACCCACAGGCCTGGCTGAACCAGCATGCTTGGAGCACACAGCAGTGCTCAGCCGCTTCTAGAGGCGTGAAGCAACGCCCCACATTGCATCCTTCCTTCCTCCCTGCTCACCCACCATTCATTGTATCTTGCCAGCTAGTTCTAGAGCTGATGAACACACCCAGCTGGGGACATTCAAGTTGTTGGGAGCAGCATCATGGCAGGAACATCAGTTCTTCTGGATGAGCAGAATTTCCTCAGCCAGGGTGGTCGCTTAGGCTACTAATTGCACAAACTGCCTCAAAACTACGTTCTGCCAATGGAGCCAGACCTGAGATTCCCCAAGACAGGTCTGTGTTGCAGTTATAGAGCTGGGAGAAGACGCTTGTTTCTCCAAAATACCAAGAAGTGGTTAATTTTGTCTTGGGGGTAGGAGTGCAGCAGACCCCCCCCTTTGTGGGGAGACAGGAACAGTCTTTGGAAATCCCTCCTGGAGCCAGCAGCAGCCTCTTGGTTCAAAGCTCCTTTCTTTAGGCCTTGAATTCTCAGCCATAAAGTCTCTGAAGAGGTTTTGATAACTTGCCTATCTTTTAGATAAGCAAAGCTTTGGATGAATCCCACACAGTCCTCTATCTACCACAAGCCCTCATTTGTTTTCCGCAGAGGCACTTGCTGGTTTTCCTCTCCAAGGTGTTGGACAGAAATGTCAAGAGGCTGAAGGGGTGGGATGATTTTTCTTTTTCTTTTCTAAGTGCTATGGGGCAAAGCGTTTGAGGGAAAACCTGAGTGATAACTGAGTGAGACAGGTTTTTTCTCATGGGAGCTGTAGGTTTACTCCTTATGCAGAAAGGAAAGACAGATGGAAGTTCACCCTTTCAAATAGTTTAAGATCGGGCAATTTTAAAAGAGCAAATTCTTGATTATTGAAATCTGCAGGGACCAGACTGCAGGATCTTCAACTAAGCAGATCTATGATCCGAGTCTGGAACAAAGTACATAAGCAGAGCCTAAAGAGAGACATTTCTGATTTCTGCGAGGCCTTTCTTGACAGCCTTTTCCAGGGAAAACTTGTAAAAGGGAAGGGGAAGAGAAAAAAAGTGAAGGAGAACAGTGACTGGAGAGAAGATTTCCTGAAACAAATCAGAAAGAACTGGCCACAGCCTCCCTCTGCAATGCCGCACACGCCAGGAGCTCCTCACAGGCGACTGCCAGCCCAGAGACAGCCGGTTATGCCCAGGTTATTTATTTTTCTTACTTTAGCAGTGTCACGTATTTAATGTTTTAAAAAAATTAGTTAACTTCTTTTATCTGCGACAGGATATAAAGCAAGAACCAGCTTCCTAGAGCAGCCAGGCAGAAGGGAGCTGGCAACCTGTGCTGGGTCAGGAGGGTAGGAAGATTAAAAGGAGATGGGATTTTGCTTTGTCCTTCACGGAAGACTTTATCCCCTCCAGATACACAACAGAAGCTTTCTCTCCCTTGGAGGTTGGCCGGCAATGGCCTTCCTGTCTCTCAAAGCTGCTCCTGGGTCATGCACGGGGCAAGCTGTGAGCAGCACAGCCCCATCCTCTGCCTCAGCCGCAAACCCCACTGCCAGCCCCCTGCTCAGCCACGCAGCCCACCTGCCCGGGGCTGCACCCTCGGGTGCCGCAGGACATGTGTCCCTGCTCCCTCGAGTGACACTCGTCCCTGTGCCAGCCCTGGCTTCTTGCCCGCTGCAGGGCGATGCTGAGCAATTAGCGCACAACAAATAATTAAGCTGATGAATGTCTCTTTTTTCCCCATTTGCTGACTGCTGTTGCCTCGAATTTATGCCCAGAATAGGAGTGAATTTATTCGCTGTCGTTTGTAGCATTCAGAAGAGGTCTTTAATGATTTCTTTTAAGCTCTCTAGCCTGATTGTGAATAGCGCAGGGCAAATACTCATTATTTCCTATCTAAGCAGCAGCACTGATTAGTCGGCGGTTGGTCAGATAAGTCACACCGCTCTGTTCCCCTCTCGCTGCCGAAATCCACAAGGTCATTTACTGCAAATGCTCAAATGCAAAGGGAAAACCTGGCCTGAGCAGATGTTGCATGAAAGTCTCTTGTGCGTTTTCAGGACAACAAAACAGGAGCATGCGAATTGTCCCATTAAGAGGGCTCAGAATTAAAGTGAATATGGGTGGAATAGATTTGCTTCCCCACAGCCTGGTTCACAGCGTTGTGTGCAGCTGAAAGTGCTTTTGGGAGGGTGGCGGGATCGCAGTGAAACTTAAGTCTTGACAGTTTGTGGACATTAAAGATCTGAAGCCAGCTCTTACTTGACTGTTAACTCCTGAATCTTCACATGATGCAATGTTAATCTTCAGCCCTTTCCTAAAATAATGTGCGGAGTTGCTATGTTCTGTTAAATGTGAACCATGTGTCACCTCAGCAATGGCTGCAACGGTGAGAAGATGATAAATCTAAAGCTTGTAAAATGTCCTGTGACATTTTGGGAGAAAAACAGGTGTTGCATAAATGTTAGACATTTATGGGTAAACTTGCAGGGGCTTTAAAAGACTGACACATCTGCCACATAGTATGTAACCCTGAAAGAAAAGGAGCAAAGCAGTCTCTTTCATGTGTCTCGCTTTTTCTACCACCGTATGAAAATACATCGTCATCTGGTATTGGAATTAACAGAGCTGGACTCGCCCCTCCTATGTCTCCTCCAGGTTTTTGGCTTTTACACCCAATGTGTATTTTAAAACTGGGCCTTTTTAAGTAGGTGGCAAACTGTGCTGGAAGGATTTGGTATGCGGAGTATTTTTATTCAGCTCCCTTTTCTCTCACCTTTCATTGTTTTTCCCTTTGGAATATCTCCTGTAACGCTCCACTCATAAACCTCTTCAAAGGGAGGGCTGTATTTGAACAGCCTGGCCTGAAATCTGGTCCCAGTCAAAGGCCTCAGTTGGGAAAATAACTCGCAGAGCTGAGACCCGTGGCCCCACGGCTGCTGCCGCAGGTGTCAGCAGCCGCTTTGCAGGCAGAGAGGTGCAGCCCCACCGGCTGGGTTATTATTCCCCCCTTTACCCTATAAATGTAATAAACTGGGACTTAGCATCTTGCTTTTGGCATGGAAGGTCCAAGGAGAAGGTGGTTTTCTCACTCCTCCCGAGCGCCTTGTTCAGCTTCTGGGATGCTGTTGGTGTTTTTGGAGAGGGGAGAAGCTTTCAGAAGCTGAATGTGTGCTGAGGAAGTGATGGGCTCTGTGGTTCAGCCCTCAAACTGTGTGATCTCTAGGATGGGGGTTTCTAAAGCACAGACTAGGGCAAGTTCAATTCCCCCAGTCACAAAGATACAGCTCCCAGTGAAGTCAATGGAAGCAGACTTCTCTCCAAAAAGCTTCAAAACCACCCTCTCCGTGGGGGAAAAGCACCAGACGTGATCAGCTGCCTATCTCTGAACCACTTGCTCTTTCCATTGGGCAGTTTTAGCACAGAAACCAGTAACCAACTGGGCTACAAAGTGCTGTCCCCATCTTGGGTGGTCACTTTGTTTCTGGGAGGCAGTGAAGCCGCATATACTTTGAGCGTGACTCACCTGACTGGTAAGTGTTCACGACTCTGTGCAGATCCCACTCTGTCTCAACTCCCTGCCCAGCAATAAATTCTGCTCCTGCACCTTAATCCTGCACCTTCTCCCCCTCAATTCAGCACCCACAACCCTTATGTTTCAGCCCTGACCCCACCCCAGCAATACCTTGTGCCCTTAGCTCCTGCCTTGATGGGGCTGGTTTGGGTCAGTCCCCTCCCAGCCACTTCACTTCCATTCCTCTGGCACCTCTTGGGGTTTTTCATCCCGTTAACCTCTCTCTTTTTTACTTCAAATACATTTTTGTTCTTAATAATACTCTGTGGCAACACATCCTATCATTAAAATACACACTTTCTTTCTCTGGTTTGGATTCTGCTTCCAGGTAATTACCTTTTCACCCCCTCATTGCTGTGTGATAAGAAACAGTGGATTTTATTTTCCTAAGCATCCTCCCTGCACTAAATAATTTTTTGTATAAATCTCTGCTACTAACCATGTCCACCATCTCTTTTGCAAGATTTTCAGGTCCTGGTCTATGTGGTCTCTGTTGGTGCAGAAGATATTTCACATCTCTGTCCAGTCCCGCTGCCTCCCACACCCCTCTCTGTCCTTTTGGAGGTGGGACGGTCAGTGAGCAATGCACACGTGGGTAAACATGGATCAAAGTAGGGACCTACAGTGATGCTTCCGTTTTGCTCTCTATTCTTTTCCTAATGACTCCTAACCTTTAGTTTCCCCTCTGAGCACTGAGGGTGGATACCAGGATGGGCAAATTTACCCTTCTCCTGAGCAGTAGGTGCGGCTGTTCTGATGAACATGGCCCAGGGTTTTGGCAGGAGCCAGCCTTTACCTATAGAGAAACCAGGGTTTATTTACAATATGAATGAATGCCTCTGACTACTTTAAGAACCTGTCTCACACAGGTATAAGGTGGGTTAAGATAGGAAATGCATATCCATGTCAAGAGAGAATTTCAAAATGAACCAACAAGAACTCAGTGCCTATGGTAAGCTGATATCTGGACTGAAGGTCCTTCTCAGACCTTGGACCTCTCCTGATCTAGCAAAAATACATTTTTTCCAGGCACAAAGCAGCACTCACCAAGGAATTTCCAGTGAAAAGAGGAAGGGGCATCCCTACCTTTTTGGTCTTGACTGTTGAGGCACAGCAGTCCCCACCATCATAGTTGCAAAAGGCTCGGTTGTTGATGGAGTCACAGTAGTTGTCCCCCATGAAAGGCTGAACAAAGAAAAAGCAGAAAGAGACTGAGAACATGGACATGGATAAAACCTGTAAACACTATGTTAGAAGGAAGAGATGAAGCCTTGAAGAAGCTGTATAGTTTGTAACATTACCAGTTGCCCTGAAAAGCAAGAGATAATTATCCCCCTCTCCCTTCAAAGCAGACAGAAGAAAAAAAAAAAGGACATTAGATGGAAGGGAAATGAGCCCTTGTTGGCTTTTCACATCCCACATAAGATGATGCTTCAGGAATATTAATTTGACTCTAGGCCCAGAGACAGCATCAAGGCATCTAAAATTGTGGCACCTTTTGATAATTTTAAGCTAACCTTCTGAAACTACGTGGGATAAGAAGGTGGTTATGTATAGCAGCAAAACTGCTTTGCTTTTAATAGCTGTACTTTCCACCACAGTTCTCCTAACTATGCAACAAGTGTAAGCAATGAGGGCACAAAACATAGCACAAAGAGAAATGGAAGTGGTTTGAGCTCAGCAAAGGGAAAAATGTGCTCCCGTTCTCTGACCAGTAGTGACTCTGTGTGACCTTGGCCATGACATGTAATCCCCCTCTGCTCCACAGCTCAGAGATGGGATAACAACAATTATTCACAGGGACATTGTGGAGAGCTATTAAGTAAAATTCATAAATCACTTTGAAAAAGAAAATGTGGTTACTAGTCTGTGCAATGTGATCACTAGTCCATGTGCTGCACAGGACCTGAATAATAATCACGATTCCGAAGAAAAGGTTTGAAGGCTGGTTTTTCATTACATGTTGGAGCTCTCTTGGTCAGTATGTACAAAAGTCTTAGAATTCAAATCTGTACCTGATGCTAAAAAAAGGCCCATGCCAGGTATGAGAAACCCAAGTAGCTCTGAAAGCTCAGAAAAATGGATGCTTAGCAGAGAGCAGAGAGCACAGTCATATCTCTGTAGCACTTCTCACATGCACAGACTGATGGGGCCATTCCCATTTTATCTGCTCTTTGGGAAACTCATTTACTCTGCACTGTGAAAAACACACCAGGGACTTTCCTACAAGAAGGCATCATTGTAGAGTGGGTGGGGAGGTTTGCTGAGGTTTCCTTAGGGGATTTTGGAGCAATTTCAGTACCAGAGTCTCCCTGATGATAGATACGTGAAGAACCAGCAATGAGAGCTCTCTGTGCTCTCCAACACAGAGCCATGGAGTCATCAGTATTGCAATGGACACTGTGGAATGGTGCAAAGCCTTTTACTGCTGGTGTTTTGGAAATTTTAATGTTTCTATCAGGGTATAGGAAATCCAGGTAATGATAGAAGTATCAGACCAGAGCAGGACTACCAGGAGTCTCATTGCATGTCACTTGTTTAGCTACTCACAAATACTAGAAATGCTGATGAGGAAATCAGGGTTACAGGGTGAGGCTCCAACCCCTGTCAACTGGCTTAACTCCGTTGACTTCACAGAGATTAACTTATTTATACAGGCAAAGACTTTGACTTGCAAACGTCCTTCCAACTTAATTAATATGCTAAGAGTTAAAAGGGAATGATTTATAAGTAGATGGAGAGATCTTTTTATGCCAACCTGGTCCTATTCAAAACCATGAACTTTTCCCAACCTCCCAAGACATCTTCTAGGCTCCTCCATATTTCCTTTGTATTGCCTGGTTGTGCCTGCTTGTCAAGAAAGGCTTGACTTTCATTTCCCATGCCTGTGCCTGTACTCTACACCCCTCAACAATGGAAAATCAGTAAAAGAAACTTGTGGAAGAATTTACCTTTCACTCTCTGGCACAGAATAGGTAAGGCAGTCCTTTGGAGGAGAAGAATGGGACAAAAATGTTCTCATTTGGTACCAAAATCCTCATTTGGGAGACCTTGGAGGCCTGGCTGTGGAGGGTGAGGTCTCTATAGGTCTTCATGCATATCTTAGTGCCCCTGTATTTTTGGAGGACTATACAGGTAGTCCAGAGGGACTAGTTTTCTACTGCAACACCTACGTTAGCTGCTGGAAAGCACGGGGCTGACTCATAAAGCTCTATTACTGCCACTAGGGAGCGACAAAAAATCACATTGCAGCACCAGTCTGGGATCACCAAGAGTAAAATAATGCCCCACTTCCAGCCTTCTGTTCAGGGAACCCTCCCTAATGTCACGGATATTAATACATTAGGGGTTTTACCAGCTTAATGGCCCAGTATTATTGACCTACTGGCTTATTAGTCCCTGTTCCCATAGATGTCAAAAAAAAAAGCCTTGGTGAAGATGGCATTTCTGCTGAAGTCATAATGCCAGAGAACAAACACTGGCCCATTCGCAGATCCTGGAAGCATCATGGTCTAAAAATGATGCTAGAGGCCATTATCAATTGTCTGGGCAAAGCCTTCTGAGATGATGGATTGCGATGCAGTGACACTGCTGAATGAATGATGAAAAGAAGAAAGTTCGTATTGATGCAGAGGGGTCTGGCAATTAACAATGATGGAAGGGAAGAAAATGCTGAGAGAAAAAAAAGCATGTCAGTAATAATGGCTTCTGGGAAATTATTACATCATTGCAAAGTTTTCCTCAGTAACAACTATCCTTAAACAGCAGGAGAATGGCCACCCAATGGTGCATCAGCACCTGAATGGCATTTCTTAATGGTCACTGGATGTTATTTCAGCTCTCTTTGGAGAATAGGGGCTCCTCGCCAGCCTGCAAGAATGTAATGCCTGAGATGGCTTCTGACATTCAAAGCACTGACAGCAGAATGCTTTTCATTTAGGGAACAACTAGACAGAAACTATTACATTGTTGGAGAGTTATTACCCTCTTGGGCTCGACATTTGTATGCGAAGGAAACCTGTCTTTCACTTCAAGACAAATCACGTCGCACAGCAATGTGGTCTAAAGTTTAGTGTCAGATTTAGGGGTTCTGTGCCATGTTCTGCCACTCTGGGCCAATAACTTCAATGTGCTTGTAAAATTAGGTTACTGGGTGCTGAGAGCACAGTCAGTGCTGCAGAAAGTCAGGAGATGTGGGGTCAAGACACAGCTCTTCCACTGCCCGTCCATGTAACCAAAGCAGCCACAAGGATTGACTTCTTGACATGGGTGAGATTCTCAAGGGCTGGCATGATGGAAACATCATGAATACCCTGACCCAGACAGAGGTGTTCCAGTTCTCTTTAACCACTGGAAGCATCTTACAACTTCTCAAACTTTTTCAAAGACTGTTGCCAGCAGAAACAAAATAATTCTTTTGGTTTGGTTTTGTTTTGTTTTTTTTCTTGTTTTTGTTTTTTTCCAAATAACACAAAAGACTGTAAAAATGTATCACAACTGAAATGAAACTGCATTTTGCTGTTTTTTGGGTTTTTTTTTTCTGGTTCAGATGGATGTGCACAGTGGAGGGATGTATGATTTGCTTACTGCCCAACTGTGCTGTGCACCCAGTGATATTATTTCTGCCTCTGTCTTTCCTAAAGTTTATCTGCACATACCAAAGACCAAAGCCTAGTGGCCTGGGAAATAATTTGCCCTCTTAGAAGATGTTAAAATCAAGGAGAAACAACTGAAGGTTTTTGCAACTTCACAGAAATTCCCAGATCCTGGGAAACTCTGACAGCCTACCAATGTTGTTGAGGCATTTGATGGTTTAATTCCTGTGAGAGTCACTCAACCATTGGCTCTAAGAAGACCATCAATTTCACCACTGAGTGTCAGAATTGATGTGGGAGACCACAGTCTGTTTGATAGGACAATCAGGGCAAAAGCCTGTTTGTCCCACTTGAAAAATAGCATTTACAACCCAGGTGACTGCAGTGACTGTTACCACAACATTTAGGAGAGCAAGCGCAGACCACCTGAGCTAACGTGAAAAGCTCACCTCGCAGCCTTTGACACAATGAATCAGGGAAGGGTGAGGGTACCACTTGAGTCCTGCCGTGCAGACAACGCTCTGGAGGGGAGAAGGGAAAAAAAAACCCAAAACAAAACAGGTTAAAACAAAGAAATCAGTGTACAGCAAGTCAACGTGCTGGCTCCTGTGGCTCTCCTGTACTTAACCAATGAAGTTCAGTTCCTAACACCTCTTGTGTTCTCAGGACCTGGCTGTCCTCCAGGTATTTACAAGAAGTGTTGGACTTGACACTTGCAATAACAGAACATTTGAGATTAAAATAATATTTAAGGTTCTCCTAAAATGTCATGTCCAATATTTCACTCGTGGTGGGAGAATGTGGCAGGGAAAGGGAAAGGCACAGGTCCACTGTCTTGCTCTTGGGAAGGGGGGGAGACATTTTAGGAATTAATGAGTGGTTTCTTTGGTGGTGCAAAACACCGTTGTCTTTCACTACCCATCATATCCGTGCTTCTTGAAGATGCTGAAAGTGAACTTTCAGATACATTTTCACACCATCTTTTAGATCTTAAATGGAAGCACCTCTACTATATGCCTTCAGAATAACCCCTATAAAGGACAGTAGCATCTGCATTATATGAGCTAGTGCTGGGCAAAAATGATGACCAGCCTACTCAACGATGACACACACAGGGCAGCCATTGTTTGCCTGTAAACATGGAAACTTAGATTTTAAGAGTGGATGAAAACTTTGGGCAGTAAGCGGAGATGATTGTTCAGCACCATGGAGGTCTAGGAGATAGGACTGCCATCCATTCACCAGGACATCAGGCACAACATTTCACGTTATCATCCATGGATGAAACATTACAATGTCCAGTTGGACAAGACAAACACGTAGGCACTTGCCCAAGGGCAGGGGTCGTGGTTGGATGGAGTCCTGGGGAAGGAAGGAATTAACATTTGGGAAGACCTGACGCACAAGCCATCCCTTCCCCTGTTTATTTGAGGGCTAATTTAATCCATCTGCAGGGGAACCTCAGCATGTTTTTACAGTTTCTGTCATTGGAGGCTTACCTGGCCTGTGCTAGAAAAAGGACTTTTATACTATCTGACTTGGGCTGTTTATCTTTCCGATGCTCTCGGATTTTCCACTATTAGTCAAGCCCGGTTTGCCCCACCTGCCTCGCAACAGGGCCCGTCTGTGTGAGCTGAGAAGCAGCCGAGAGAGGGGGAGAGGACGTTGTTTATCCCCTGGGAGGGGAGGCTGCAAGGTGCGGGGGCCCTGTAGTGTCAGACGTTCCCCCAGCACACTCTTGACAGACAGCTGGAGATTTCCAGGTTGTCGCCTGTCACAAATGGTGAGTTTTTTAATCTTTATTTTTTTTTTTTAGTTCTCTTCTGTTTATTGCACTTTAGAGGGAAAAGAAAGGAAACTTTTCTAGGTTTCAAAATAAACAAGGCCAGTCAACAGATTGGGAGGGGGGGAAAGTAAAGGAAGCAGTTCAAGAGCATGTGAACCCAAGAATTAAACCAAAGGAGAAAAACCAGGTGTTTGCCTCCCGTATCCAAGGCCAGCTAGTCAATAAGTAGAAGAAGTGCACTTCCAAAAAGCATCTCACATTCCCCCAGCAAGAAGCATCAATATTTACAAAACCTCTTGATATGTGTGAAAGTGTGTGAGCATTTGGAGCTAATAAAAGCAGCCAAATAGCCCTGAAACAAGCTCTTCAGAATGGCGTTTCCAGGTGAGAGCAATCCCTTGCAGAAGATGCACTGACTGCTTAAATGCCCCTTCCAGTATTAAAAACCCATCACCCTCCCTTAGAGGAATGGATGGAAGATGAAATCTGTGCTAGGACATTCCTCTCCTCAGAGCTTTCACTCAACGTCATCTCAGTCCCAAGGGCTGGACAGCCTCCAGGGCAAGGGAGCCCCAGGCTGCTCTCCATAGCGTAGGAAAGCCAGCTGACCTTGTGCTAGATTCATCACTGGGTCAGTGGGACACTCACATGGAGCTGGAAGCAGAGGACGCTCAGGGAAGGGCGCTCAGTCACGGCCCTGACTCCTCTTGCTGGTCTTCTAAGTCCTGAATTCCTACCACCCAGCCTGTTTGTACCCTCAAGCTGCTGCTGTGGTGTGTGTGGTGTAATGGGATGGGAGAGAGATTGTTCAGAAGGAGAGTCTGGGTTGGAAATTAAGAAACTGGGGATGATTCAGGTTGCTGGGCATCATTCCTGCCTCTTGTGGTGCTACCAGGCACAAAGGTGCCATAGGGTGCTGCATGGGGCAACTGAGATAAACGTATAAAAAGGAAGGGAGGAAGGGTACAGGCAGCAGTACTGTGGGAGGTGACCAGGATCATAGAATCATTGAACGGTTTGGGTTGGAAGGGAACTTAAAGCTCATCCAGTTCCAACCCCACTGCCAGCAGCAGGGACACCTTCCACTAGACCAGGTTGATCAAAGCCTCATCCAACCTGGCCTTGAACACTTCCAGGGAGGAGCATCCACAACTTCCTTGGGCAGCCTTAGCCAGTGTCTCACCACCCTCACAGTAGAAAATTTCTTCCTAATATCTCATGTAAATCTATTCTCATTCAGTTTATAACCATTGCCCCTTGTTCTGTCACTCCCTGCCCTTGTCAAAAGTCCCTCCCCAGCCTTCCTGGAGCCCCTTCAGGTGCTGGAAGGTACCTGAATCCGACGGCACCAGTGCATGCAGAAAGGAAGGTGGACTTATGAGGCCAGCAAAGGATGCAGACATGTGGATGGAAGGACCACATCCAGCACATGCCAGGCAGTGCACAGGGGACAAAGCCCATCTGGCCACTGCCTCTGTGAGCCCCATCCCTTCCTCATACTGCCACTTGCTCCAAGCTGCTGTGGTGACATATGCTGCACTCATGGCCTCAGCTCCCCTCGTGCATCAGCTTCTGCAGCACAGCTGCCCTCCCGTGTGGGCTGCCCTGCGCAGCCGGGTGTATTGACTTTGGTCCTGTCCCCATCCCAGAAACACAGAAACACCATCCAGCTACATCTGCGGTTTGGTGGCTGTGACTCCATCTGCTGCGACTGGAGAGGAAGCTGGGACGCGCTCCCACAGTAGGTAACAAAGAGCCAAGAAAGCAAATCAAGCTGTCATTTTCTCCTTGTGAGGGAAGACCTAGTGCCTCTGGTCACAACGCTTCTCTCCCATGGTGGGACTAACACAATGATGTCAACCATTCGCAGGCTGTGGAGGGGATTAGGTTTCCCCCCAGAGAGGTGGGTGGAGAGCTCTCCTCCACCTTAGATGGGTCAAGTGTCCTCCAGGGCTAAAGCCCAGGGACTGACATCTACTAGTCTCAGCTAACTCTCTCCTCAGGCACTAAATGAACATGACAATTAACCCTGGGCTTAATGTCACGGTGGTGAGGGGATCGGCCACTGCTGCCAAGGGAGAGGAGACACAACAGTGCTTTCTGGCTGTTTCCTCCTGTAGCTACAGATGGGGTGGGAAGTCCTGCCTTCCACCACACTGCAACACGTCATTTCACTGCTCCGTGACTCAGTTTCCCTGCCTGCTAAATGAACCCAACACTCACAGAAAGAGGAGAGAGGAAGGAAGGCAGAAAACTGCAAAGCTTAACTGAACAGGGGAGTGTTTAAGGAGAACTCCCCTCAATGATTTCTGGATATTCAAAACCTCAGGGCTTATAGTCCATATGGGAAAACACATCTCCAGCAGCAGGGCAGTGTCCCAGGTGTATGGAGGGGCCATGGCCACGCTCAGCCCCACTAGCAGGGAGCATTGGGACATGCCAACCCTTTCAAGGCTATCCCATGTATGCACATGCTCACACAATATCTGGCTATTTGGCCTGTTCCCACTCAGCACAAAGGCAAGGACCCAAATTCAGACAACCGAAGAAATTAGGTGTCTGCCCTGTTTCTCTGCAGGCGGTGGGAAAGAGCTGTCAAGCTGTCCTTCTGAGACATTTCATTTTTTTCCCTCCACTGCCTGCATAGTCAACCTTGGCAGCTCCAGCTATAGGTGTCTTCAACAGCTCGCTGCCCCTTGCACACGCAAGGTCAATGGGAAATCACGGCCGCAGCAATGGTTGCTCCAAACACAGCCTGCTGCAGAACAGCTGCCATACAGAAAATTGCAGGTTTGGTTTTTTTAATTATTTTTTTTTTTTATGTTTTCCCTGCTGAAAATACTGATTTGCAAGACACTGCCAACTTACACTGATTTCAGCAAACTGTTTCAGACCCAACAAAGCAACTCAGTCTAAACCAATTCTGAAAAACACTGTAATATTTAGACACTTTTCAAAATGAAATATCTGTTGTTGTTGTTCCTTTGAGAGGACATTTAGTTTCTAAGGTTTCTTTTTTTTTTCATTTTCATTAAACAAAAAATTTTTAAAAATCCTTGGAAATTAAATGCTAAGTTATGTTCAAACCAACATGTTTTTTTTTCTCCCGTTTTTTTGGTTCAGCAAAAATCACAACAAAAAAAATTACTTTGATTAAGAGAAAGCTTTTTTTTTTTTTTTTTTAATTTGACAGAATTTCCAGCAAACCAAAAAAATCAAGTGATTTGCACAGCTCTAAACAACCCCCAGAGGAAGGATGGTTCCTGCTTCCCACTTTGCTTCCATAACAGCTGTTGCTTGAGCAGCTACACATAAATATGTTGGGTTTTTTTTTTCTTGTGGGCTCTGTCTATGTTTAATCTGTGCCTGTGCTCTCAGAGGTAAGCTCCAGAGATCAGCCCTGCTTTATCTGCTCCTCATCCTGCGCTCACTTGTACATTACTTGTGTCTGAAATTAAGTAACTCAAAGTGTTTTCCTTTGCGTCATTCGAGTACTTTGAGATCCACGAAGACTTGCCGTGTAAATGCAACCAGCTGCTCCCTTTACTCATACGGCACAACAGCAAGCTGGCACTGACCATAAATACAGACATGTCTTATTAATGATATATAACACATTGCCACGGGGACCTTCCCCTAAGGCATCCCAGTCCTGTCTCTCCAGGGTCTCCCCAGTCCCACCAGCAGCAGCATTTCTCCCAGTGGCACCCCTGTGGGTGACATCCCCTTATCTGGACAGCTGAATAAGATGGATGATTTACAGCTACCAAAAAAAATCCCCTCCTGTGTGTCTCAGCATCATCCTGTTCATCTCCTAAAGGCTCTCCTCCATCTCCCAACACAAGTTTTCAAATCTCACCTCCTACAGACTGTTGGGTTGAACTTGTATCTGCTCACAGCCTGAAGGTCTTGCAAGACCCTCACCAGCAGAGTTAAAAAGGTCTTATTTACCACTGCACTCATGGAAAACCATGATTTCTCCTCCATGCCTCACTCCCCTCATCTCCTCCTTTACTACTACATGTTTTCCCTGCTGCCTAATGAGCCCTCCAGAGACCTGCAGGTATAAAACTTGTTACAGCTCCCTCTGCATACCCGCATCAATAAACGAAGGAGCACAGTAGAGAACGGGAGGGAAGCTGTCACTTTATTTCACCATGAATTACAAAACCACTTTAAAGTCTAGCACTCGGGGAAAGGGCCAGTGAGAAATTGCCCCTAATACAGAGATAGGGGTTTTCTTTATGGTTCATGCCAGAAACTTGGCACAGCCTCGGCTTAGGCAGTAATATAACCTCAGCCTTTGGAGTGAATGGGAAGCTGGGAAGGATGTTGTGAGCTTGTCTTACTCTCTGGATTTAGGTTCCACATCCCTTTCCAGGATTTATTCTATAGCTCCATGTGAAATAGGGAAATATAAAGTAGTGGAGATTTTTGGAGTGTCTTGCTATCCACAGCCAAAATCAGATTTCAAAGATCCCAAGCCCTGGGTACATATTTAGGCAGGTAGAGAAGCAAATAGACTGTCAAAGCTGCTCAGGGCACGCTGGGGCTGTGTTACCTGCTTGTTCTCCTCTTAAATGACATTCAAGTGTGTAAAACGGACTCCTGCAAAGCCAGGGCCAAGTATGTAAAAGTCAATAGTGTTTGCTCAAGCACCACCAGCAACCTGCACCCTGGTGACACGAGATGTGCCAGCATCTTCCGACACGCACCTGAGCATGTCCAGATAAACGTCTGCACCTGCAGAAATACTGCGCAGGCACAACCACCCGGTTACCCGCATGTCTAGGCAGGAGGGCACCTTTGTGTAGGGTCTTCAGAAAGGCAACTGAGTGTGCCTTCTACTGGTATCCAAGTATAGGCATGAAGCCAAGCAAGTGGCATGTATGTGCAGGGGTGAGTGTGCGTGCAAGGCATTGCACATGGGTGTGCATGTCTCTGTCAGGGCACAGTGATACTGGTGTGCGCTGGACCAGGACGCACAGGACAGGGTGCTGTGAGCAGTTAATGCTGCCTGTGTGTTTGCAGCAGGCAGGAGGAAGAAGTGGTGACCTCTGGAAGGGGCTGTGCTGAGCAGGCATCTCTCGAATGCGGGCGAAGGGGCGGGGGAAGGACTCAGCCAGCTCTGCTGGGTTGGGAAATGAAATACCCTCTGTCTCAGCTACTTTTGTCATCCAAAAGCAGTGCAGAAAAATCCAGCCCTGCCACCCAAAGAATGCAAAATACTGAACAGGAGGAAGAAAATAAAACCTGGACAGTGCCCTTTCTCTCCCTGTCCATCACATCTTCCTGTGTAATGAATCATGTTTCCAGATCAGACCCACTGTGGGCACTGGGTGGATCTGAGCACACTGATTTGGGGTCTTTACCTTGAACTGACTTTCACTGGGAAATCACAGAGAAAGCAACTTGGAGAGGAAGCCACCACGTTACCAGAACAACACTCAAAGACACAACAAAAACCAGGAATTCTTTTCTAAAGGGCAGAATTCCCCATGTATTCCCATGAATGAACCACAGGTAACGCTGTTCACTCACTGCGCATGAACAGGCAACAAGGACTATAGTTAGTGAGCTCGTCAGGCACTGACCTTCACTCTTTGAGGGTTCATCCAGTGCTGGATGTCTTGCACAGTCTCGTTGATGCGCAGGAGGATGGGCTCGTGACTGTGATCCAGACATGAGGTGGTACACTCTGCACCTGCATGAAACACCGAGAAGATAACGCTAAAGGATAAAGCAAGCAGCTTCTGACCCTTGCAGCATCCTTCCAGCTGAAGGACAGGATCAGGGCTCGTTTTTCCTAAATTGCAATTAGCAGTCAACCATAACTATCACATATCTTCTAGCCACACGTGAAATGCTGAGTACAACCTTGCGTCTCAGCAGGAGATAGTGGGGGTGGCAGATATTCCAGGGCCTTTTTGTATGAGCTGCATATCTAGGTATTTCTCTGGCTATGAAATCCAAGAAGGGGGTCAGGTTTTGTGCTTTCAGATCATCAAGAAAACGTGAAGGTTTTTTTCCATTTCAACTGCTCTTTCAAGCAATGGGATTGATTAAGCAGAGGCTGTTGAACTCATCTTACCTATGACATGACTGAAACCTACCGTTTGATCTGTCAAATTTACAGACCTTTAATAATAAACTTTCGGAGGGTGACCAAGTGTAATGATACTGCAGACGAGCTATCACCTAAGTCCCACAGTCGATAAGAAGTACGCAGAGAGGTAATGATGGCTTTGTTCACACATAAACCTGTTTTTTCTCTGATTAACTGTCATGCCCAGTGGGAATCCTGTCCTTTCTTTATTAAAACATGCTGTGATACTCTGCAGCAATATCCCAGAGCCCTGTGGTGACACAACCGTAAGCCCTAGTGTGTTGGACCATTACCATTTCCCCCCTGGAAAATCACTCTTGAATGGCACAGCTGCTGCAAACATGTCATTAGGATTTCTGCACTCCAATCAGCGCTGGGGGAGGAATGAATCCCCGCAGTGGTTTGCAGAGCTGAACCTTTGGCTCAACACACACCTCAGCCTGGAAGGGCAGATTAGGTGTCTGAGGAATTACTGAAGGTGTGTGGGATTCATAGTGACCATGACTGGATGTTATTATTTCCCCCCACCTGCTTCTGCCTTCTCACGTACTCCCACATGGAGCCGTCAGCAGGAGCAGAGCTGGGCTGTTGAGCCAGCAAAATGGGGATCACTTGGGGTTGGCTTTCCCAGTGCACGTAGTAGTGGCTCCATGGACCCACTGGATGAGGCCAGTTGACACCAGACCCATCTTGAGTGAGGGACAGGAGAGCACCTTCACAGAAGGACATTGATCAGGCTTCCAAAAACACAAAGAAGAGAAGAAAACCCCAACAACCTGATCCCGAAAGGTGGTGCTGAGTGAGCCTAACAAAGTGTGTGGAATGTCTCCATCTGCTGAGGGTAAGAGCCAACGGCTACTGTGCCCTCACCAAGCTCTTCCTCCTTCTCCAGTGAGAGCCACACTCTCACTGGAGATCTGGCCCATGAGTCCCTCACCTCCTTGACAGCTGCATGGTCCCATCCCAGGATCAGGACCTCTGGGAATGGCACCTGCTGACAGCTCCACCAAAGCTGTGAGAGGACTGAGGGCTGGCAGGCACCTGCTGCATGGGCAGTTGCAGACCCTCCTGCTTCCAGCACTGAGATATTCCCCTCAGAACCAAGCAGTGGTATTTCTCTCCTTGCAAAAACCTGGCCAGCCTGGGAGGTAACCTCATCTCAAGGGTAAAACACCTCGCCACATTAAGAGTCGCCGCAGCCTGCTCACTGCTCGCTCTCCCGTGCTCCGCTATTTACGCTTACGGAAAGGAGCGGGTCGGAATTGTTTTGATATATGATCTGTAATTGGCATCATTACAGAGCGGTGATCTCATCCAGGTCGTGTTCTCCTCCCCGGGGAGGGAACACAAGGAGGCTCATGGTCCCTCACATGGCTGAGATATAATGAGGGAGCCACGCAAGGAGGAAATTTCTCCAAGTTCAAAGGGACAGGCGGAGGGAGGAGAGGGCTGGCAGGGGCTGGGAGTGGGGCTGCAGGAAGGGGCCTCGTGGGTCTGTGAGGGCTGCAGTCAGTGCAGCTCTCATTGCAGTCTTTGCAGCAGGGAGACCTCAAAAACAAGGGCTGAAAATACAATATAATGGGTACAAATCCACATGTAGTTTATCCCTCCCTCTGCCTGGGTGACACAAAGCAAAGCTGGGTGCAGGAAGTCATCACCTCTTGCAGAGTGACCATGCACCCCAGAAGGAAGGGGGAAAACACCCTCTTACAACAGTTCCTAAACAACTGTCATACCAAAGGGGATGCTCCGCTGGTCTCATATTCTTTCTGGAGAGACCTGAATTAACCTGGTGTTGTGTTTCCCTGCCAGCTTCCTGCCTTTCAGCCTCTGGAGCGTGTGCGTGGTTGGAGGAGAGAGACATTACAAAAGTGTAAAAGCAAGCGCAGGTACAGTCTCTCCCTGTATTTTGAGAACTGGCTGTGTCTCTGGCATAGTCTGGCATGCTGGCTGCCCATTCAAACCAGCTGGCCAAGGAGGGACATGATGAAACTGGAAACGCTGCAAGGAGCAGGCAATCGGAGCATGTTACATGATGCCTGCCCTCTCAAAGCTTCGTGTTTCCTAAAAGCAGTTCCCTGAAAAGCCTCCCATAGCAGCCTCTCACTCAGGCAAACAGGTCCACAGGAGAAGGTGACTTCAAGGACTGCAGGCTCTTTCTTTCCTCCCTCTTGTTCTCATTCTCTTCCTCATCTCCTGTCCCACTGCTCCCTCATCCTCATCTCCTGTCCCACTGCTCCCTCATCCTCTTCTTCATCTCCTGTCCCACTGCTCCCTCTTCCTCATCTCCTGTCCCACTGTTCCCTCTTCCTCATCTCCTGTCCCACTGCTCCCAGTTCCTATACGAGCTCGTCCCCCCAGGGCAGACAGCCTGGCCTGATGCTCACAAACCTATGCCGTAGCCGCTGGCACACTGCAGCTTCAGGTGGCTGTTGAGCTGCGTGGGCAGCGTGCACTGGCCCTGCATTTCCCTGCAGAGATGAAAGGAGCCGCTCCAGGTGCCATCCTTCCGGCAGTGAATCACGTTGCTTCCACGACCCTGAGAATGAGAGAAGGAGATAATGAGGATGGACACCAAAAACAACAGCAAGGACAGGCTGAGAAGAGAGAAGCAGGCAGAGCTGAGCTGGGAGTAAAATTCTGCTGGAGCTGGAGAAGCTCCTGGATGGGACTGCCAGTTCTGGGGGGCAAGGAGTTTTCTTCTCAAAAATAAAGAGAAAGAAAAGTGCATTGCATACAAACACACACACACACACGCCTCTTCTGGGCAATGCCATGTCTTTACAAGGCCCTTCCAAGGTCTCTACCTTCCAATAGACCCACTCCAGTTGTGATAAAGGTGCGTTCACCACGCTTGCCTTCTTTCTTGTTGAGAGGTTTGTGTTGAATGCAGACAACCTTTTCCCTCTTCCCATTTTTCTAACTAGTTGCATCATCTTTGTCTCAAAAAAAGAAAGAATCCCCAGTGGCCTTCTGAAGGAGGAGGGAAAGCGGGACACAAGGAAGGATGCTTAGCAGGGCAGAACGTGCTCTTTAGAGCTTGGCTGCCTTGAGTGACAGCGAGTGAAGAGGCTGAGACAGACACACACAGAGGCAGGTGGAAGGGTGAAAAAAAACTCCTCTGGTGTGGGAATGGGCAAGGAATAGATTATGACATTTCTCTTATAGAAAAGATTCTCCGTATGATACTGAAGAATGAATACCAACGTCCGAGGGGAAATATCATGCCCTTTAGAAACAACAAAGGAGCTCACAGGCAATCTTTTGTCAGATCTATCCTCATGGCATTGGGGATTTCTGCACAAGCTGTTCTGCAGGATCTGCGAGCCTAACTGCCATGGGGTAATGTGGTTTTAGCAGGAGGATGTCTGGTGTGGCTGGGCTCCAAACCTCCTGCAGGGCCCTTGCTGGGTGGGAGAACCATGCAGGATCTCTGCTTCTCCTCACTTATTTTACATTTCAGGCCTGTTGCCTGTAATCTACCCACCCTGCTCTTGGAGACTGTGCTGGATTTCTTTGGGGATCCTTTAGTGTGCTGTCCATGCTGAGATGCCAGCAGGACTGCTGGACTTTTCTTAGGCACTCTTCCCTATGACCCACACTCGTTGTTGCACAGGGATCTGCACAAGCCCATGGTACCAGCTTGGAAGATTGTACAGCCTTCCATGTTAGTCTTCTCCTTAATATCCTAATGCTTTTGTTGCTCAGTTTTGTTGCTGAACACAATGTTAAGTGAGATGCAAAGTGGTCTTATCAGCAGACTACTGTGTGGGACCCGCTTCCCCTTCTCTAGACATCTGGCCATTGCCAGAAGTAATAAGAAAATCATATGAAAGGATAATGGACCAGATGGACTCAGGGTGTGATCCAGCTTGGTGACTCTCACCTAAGGGCCAGTTTGGCAGAGACTGATTAATTTAGATCTGACTGTTCAGATGATTTGTGCACAATATTCAGAAACTGAAGACCCTTGCTCTGGGTGCCAGGGGAGATACCTGCTTAAATGACCATTACATTCCTGGTGATTAAGAGATGCCATATGTACAGCTGAGTAATGATCTTTCAGCGTGGTGACAAATTCAGGAAGAGATTGCTAAGTGATAATTGAGCACAATTTGCTGTTTTAGCAAGTGTGGTGCACTTCCATTGCAATTTGCATGCCAGGGTTCAAGCATTATTTTTAAAGGTGAGCCAGGAAACCTGATTTATGTTCCTGGAGCTGGCTGTGCTTGACGGTACTATTGTATAGTTTCCGCAACATATTCCAAGATCCCAAGATATCCATTGCTATAGTAACATACTGTCCATCATTCCCTGACCTGCAAAATCTCTTGTGAAAATCCCTGCTGGGTTTCTTGCTTGGATGCAACGTGCATTATCACCTTATATAGCTGAGAGAGACTTAGTGGGGTTTAATCCTTAAATAATTAACACCTCTCAAGTGGTTCTGGCTTGTGCTAGGAGTCTTCCCTCTTTTTCTATCATCTATTTTCTGGGATATCTGGAAATATCTTCTTCTGCAAATCCTTTTCTCAAGATGTTATCTGCTCCTTTGCTCAAGGTGCTTTCACAGCTGAACGGTCACTACGCTTTTCCTTACAGTGAATAGAGACATAGCTGTATCTCTCACTTTCCAGAGCTCACTTCATTACTGCTGTAACCCTGACTCCACTGCTTGCTCCTCTTCACATCCAGCTCATTTAAAAAGTAAACACAAACCCATTATACCGGTTGTCATTACCCCTATGGCCCTGGTTTCCTCACATGGCAGCGATGGTGCACATCTTCAGCCACACTGACCCCTCTGAGTAAGTGGGAGATGCGCAAAGCCACAGGCGCCGTATCCCAGAGCTCCCACCCAAACTGCACCCACGTGTGCAACTTCCCATTTCACAAGGCTCATTACCTCACCTAAGCCTTATACAAGGAAAGCTTTTCCAGGTGGCCTGATGCAAAACCCCAGGGCTCTGCCTGTTGTCCCTCTGAAGAGAGCAGGTCAACCCAGCAGGGAATGGGGGAGCAACTGGCTTTCAACATTTGGAGCAGATATCAGAGGTGTCTTTCAGCTCACTGATCCTAAGGCAGAGTTGGCCCCTTTTTATTATGTCCTCAAAATCTGGAATGATATTAAAAGTCTTTTGACAGAGCACTCCCTGCTCTCTGCAGCGTGTATAGTAGCAGCAGCTTCTGCATCTCCACTTTCTCCTCCCAAGCATATTAAGCAGCAGCAGCACTTCTGGGAGAAGTTACTTATCTCACAAACTATAATTACCTCTACTGAGGAAAACTAAGTATTTCAAACAAAATACTAAAGGCCAGATTTTCTCATACCAGTGAACACAGCTCCTAGGAAGTCAAAGGCAACACACTGATTTATACCAGATGAAGATCTGACCCCTGACTTCAAATGACACCTTCACAGCCAGAAAAACATGAAAGTTTACAGACAGTTCACCTGAACAGTGGTAATCTCTAGAAAGTTAAATTATCATGTGGCACACATATATATAATGATAATGAGAAAAAGAATTGGAAAGAAAAGCAAGGTAAAATGGAATGAACAAAGAGGACAAGTGCAGGTAACTCATACCCTGCTTACTTTCACTCATTACTCCTTATTTTCTAGATGCATCACAGAGCCACTGAGGCAGATTTTTCAGCCAGTTATTATCCAGAAACAGTAAGTCACTCACTGCTAGTCCTCTACGAGCAATAGTACCATTACTACTATAATAAAAATAATATTTTCAAACTCTTCACAGTAACTCTCTCCCTCTACTTTAATTACATATTTCCCTTCTCCATTTCTCTGCTTCTGGTGTCCGAAGAGCTCAATGGCACTTAGCCCCTCCAAAATCAGGGTCCTCAGGGAACATATGATAAAACCACGCTTGTATGGGCTGAGATAATTTGGATAAGAGAGACTTACCGACTGACTGTCATCATCTTCACACTTGATCCGGCACTCGCTGTTGAACTGGAAGCCGTTGGAGCACTGGTAGAGACCGTGAAACTTGGAAGGTGGAGGGTCACAGGTAACGGGCACGCAAGCCCCAGGCAGCCACGTGCCGTCTTGTGTGCACTGGATCTTAAAGGCTCGCCTTTTTATGCAGAAAAAAAACAAGTCCATTTAGTGAGTGGCTGAGTTAGAGAAGAGCCTCTAAAGCCTCTGAGCTCTGCTAGCAGGTTGCAGGGGATGGATATGTTTGAGCTTTTAACACCTGGGGAACAAGTTGTGAATCTGTGTCATGAGGTCTCTGAGCAAAAATAACCATTATTTGCAAAGCCAACATTGAGCTGCCCAGCCTAAATTCCTCTTTTGGCCTTGGACATGTCTCTCAAAAACTCTGCTTCCCAGGCTTGTGGGCTGTGGTTGGTTTGAAGTGGGTTTGTGCAGAGTCAGAAGCAGACGATAGCACTAACCCTTTCCTGCAGAGTTTCAAAGGGGACTCCCCAGGCTGGATATCACAGGAGTATTTCTATGGTAAGATCTGTTTTTTGAGCACTGGTTTGGATTTTCAAAGAAGCCTAAGTGAGCTAGGTGCCCAAATCCCCTTGAAACTGCACAACTATCTGCACAAAGGAATTGTTCAGTGACATATAGTCTGTTCTAAACAGCCCATCACTTTCCCCAAATCATTTTAAGTCATGGCTTTCTGACTCATACTGACTGCATGGCATTACTCTTTCACGTACTTTCTTGCTTTTCTGGAGGATCCAGGGACATGGTAACCTGGTTTGCATTTGTACTTGCAAAACGAGCCCACTTTGTGCTTATCTTCTCGGCAACGAGTAGTCTGGAGATCTGCATTAGGGATGATGGAGGGTGCTCGACACATCAGTTCACAGAGGGCCTCTGGAAAGGACCACAGCCCATCCTCCATGCAGGTCAAGTTGCTATTGTTTCCTAAGAAGAACAGTGAGCAAAGTTAACAATATTCAGCAGGGTTATCTTTTTATTTTTCAAAATGTCATAACACCCATAATATATCAAAAGCCACCTCAGTTGGTTTGACAAATTCAACTGTGTATGCCCTGTGCATTTTCTCTTTCTAGATGATGGTATTAAATCATTAAGGACTCTGTTTTCAGATGACAGGCAGACAATGCTTATTTCAGGAAATGCTATAGCATAGGGGAAACCACACTGGCTTTGTAATCTTTTGTATTTCTCTTCCTTATTTTATTCTTCTCTGAAAGGAAGCTTGCTTCATACATCAACCCCCTCCTCTCCAAAGTCATGGCATTAACAGAGGGTTTGGTGCCATTACATTCTTCATTCTGCTTCTGTGTTATATCTCTTCCCTGAATCTGTCCTTTTCATTTCAATTTTGAGCCTTTTGGAGCAGCATCTGTTAGTATTAGAGTCACTACTCCAACACAATGAGGAGCCATTCTCAGCTGGGGACTCTCAGTCCTTAGGGACTACTGTGATAAATACAACTCATAATATTCATTAGAGACTCATTTTCCTTTGGAAGCTTTCTTGGCCAGCACCTCAAAGGTAAAAGGTACAATAGATCTATTTGCCTCTGCTATGACCTACTTGACTTCAGAAGGTTAAGCTAAAAGTAGCCTAGTCTCAGTGTATTTTACATTCTTTGTTATTTTATACTGTATGTTGAAAAGGAATAAGCTTTTCCTAAGAAACAAAGCACAGCTATGAGCCACTAACCCTTCAAAAATCCCTAATACTCTATTGAAATCCCCAAGCATTGCTGCAGGAACTCTTCTCAACCCACAAGGCATATTTTCAACAGTAAGCCAACTTCGGAGTTATCCAAAATAATACTGACAAACTGCTAACCCCAGAGCAATGCCATCTCTCTGAGAAGGAAGGAAGAGAGCCAGGGCATGAGACTGGAATTCAAAGAAGAAGAAAACAAAAGGCTCTTGGAGGGCTCAGGAAGGTATGTGGAGGAGCCCTCCTGCCCTACCCACAAAGATAAGAGAAGCTGCATTAAATCAGCCCTGGCTTTTCTCTCTCCCCTCCCCAACTGCAGATGACTGCAGAGGTATTTTGTGCAGAAGGGAGCTCTTTTCTAGAGCACCAGCATGCTCCTCTACTCTGACTCATGCAGCAGCTCTGCAGACCAGCCGTGGTGATATCATACTTGCCACTGCAAAGCGATAAGCTGTGACATTACCAACAGTGGCTGTCATGACGTCAGTGATTGAATTAGGCATGAGTCATTCAAACACCATCCTCCAGAAGCTTAGTGGCAACAACTATTAGTCATCACCGATGGCTGTACACCAAATGGTGCCTTCACATCACAGCTCACAGAGTTTCTGGACAAAAGTGATGTTACACATCACAGTTTCACCCCCTGACCTGGGGGTTGGTTATCATCCCTCAAGCTACCCCCGCCAGAGTCAACAGCTGAAGCTCTAGTTGGCCATAATGAATATCATTATTTTCGCTGCCCCCTTCAAAAAATTCTGGACATATTCAATAAAAACCACCTCTTGTTGAAGATGCCCCTCTGAGTATATGAACAGAAAAAGGGAATTCTTTAATAAAAATCTCCCCTTTGAGTAGTCTTAACTTCCATTGTGTGTTGGCTGCTTCTGGCTACCCTTCTAAGTCAGAGTTAAAAGAATTAAGCAATTTGGTTATAGATGAAGAAATCAACATATCCTTTCACTGAAATGAAGAATACTTCCCATGCCTTTTCTGGGGTTTGCAATTAATCCTAGCAGAAAAGGTGATATCACATGTACAAAAAAAGCTTCTACAGCACTTGTACCAGAGGTGACAACAGCAGTTAAGATTACTTCACTGCCAGGTGACATGTTAATTCAGCTCTCATGTTCCTTCAAATTAACAATTATATTTTTTTCTTGTTTCCTGAGGACCAGATCAAAAAGGGTAATGTGCCAGTGAGCAGAAGAGTTGATGGTGCTGAGAAGATGACGAGGATGCTAGCAGAAAAGCAGCAGGGAAGAAGATGTAGAAGAAACAGAAAGAAGGCAGCAGAGTGTGTTATTTTTAAGAAAAAAAATACTGTAGAGAGTCCCAAACAAGAAGAGGAGAGAAAGGTCAGAGGTGGAGCAAGATGAGTGTGGAAAAGAAGAGAGGTGATGGATGGATTAGGAAAAATAGCAATGGGGGACTGTGCCACTGGGACATAGGACTTTTCAGTTTTCTCCTCCCTGTCCAAATACATGGAGGAGGCATAGCAAGGAGACAGACACAGAAAACAGAGAAGGCATGGGAAAGAAGATGAGAGTTCAATTTGATTTATCCCCATGACTTTTGCATGTTTTGGTTGTATGGAAGCAATATTCACCGTCATTACTGCCTGGCCAGCTGTGATCAAGGAAAGGTCAAAGGAAGGTAATAGGGAGACGCAAAGGAACTTCACTTCTAATATAAATAAACCTTCCCATAGAGTCTCATAATTCTTCATACTTAAAATATAATGAATAATTCTAAAACAACAGCAACAGTAACATATATTACTAGGAACAGTCTGTGTTAGTTGTGCAGGTGTCCCTAGGTCACTGCACCCTCTGGTACCTTTCAGAAGAGCAGGAGGTCGGCAAGTGAAGGAGCATTTCTTGCCAAAGGTGGTCCCCTCACTGCAGTTGAAGGTGGCTGGGTAGACATGGTACTGGTCTGGGACACCACAGTCCACGGGCTCACAGGTCACCTGCTTGTTCCACTTCCCATCTGTGCAAGTCATGGTGATGCTGGACTCCGTCTGGAAAAAGACACATGCCTACAGCCACCAGATCCAGCAAGGAAGAGATCAAAACCATTTCAAACCTATTAACAGCCATTATTTTGGCTCACAAGTTAAACAAAACTGGGTATAATCACTACCATCTTCATTTGGACAGCAGCTACTAAAACCACCAAGGTCCCACAAGAAACAATGCCAGAGAACCAGGATACATTTCTGTCACCTCTGGGGTGAGACAACGAAGTGCTTCAATATAAAGAGTGGAGCACTACAAATAATCTGAACTCTTGTCCACATCACCTCCTGAGACAAGCTGGGAAGGAGGCTGCCCTGCCCTGGGATCAGAAAGCAGTGGGCAAGCGTGAGCTGTTTGGAGCTGACAGCTATCCCCAATCCCTGACCCCTCTGCAGCGACACAACCACTCGCAAGGGGATCCCACGTACTTCTGAGCAGTCAAACTCATTCTTGGGTTTGAAGCAAAAGCCAACCTGACATGAACCCATTTGGGACTCCCATCCAAGGATCTCCCAAGAGGTGTCAGTCACCCTTGGATCAGGGTACTGAGGGAGATGGCCTGGGCCATGTCAACACTGTGTTCAGATACTGACAGCTGCTTTTATGGTTTCTACTATCAGGGTGCCCCAAGGCTCCAAATGAAATCAGGGCCCCGCTGCCCTGGCACCAGGGACATGCACGCCTGAGAGACAGACTTTTTCCTGGAGGAGTTTGGAAAGGACAGAGCAAAGAGCATCCTGCCCATACGTTCACCTGGCACTTGAGAGGTCGAATATGGAGTCAGTGCTTGTGCTCTGACTTCCCTAATGTTACTCTACTGTCACAGCTACACAGAAGCTACACTGCTATGGATTTGAGGAATAATCCAAACAATGCAGCAGACTGAAATCCTGAAGTGCTAGGGAGAAAGAAAAAAAGAGGAGGAGGTAAAGGAGCCATCTGTCCAAAGCTAAGACGAAGAATTTACTGGGGACCGAAGGACAAACAGATGTTGGCAAAGAGAACAGAATGAACAACATATCCACTTTTTAATTAAATAGCGAATATTATTAGAAACTAGAAGCGTAGATACTGAAAGTAGGACTCTTCCCTCCACACCAGAATAAAGAGAGGGACAGAAGTAAAAGAAAGTGAGAAACCCAAACAGAAGGAGGGGAAGATATCGGCGAGGAATCTGACCAAGCCGTACAGCAGCACTTCTCTGCCTCCAGGGAATATTTTATTCAGGGCTGGTACGTTCACAGGAGATTTGCACTGCTGACCATTGATCTGGGTTTATAAAAGGAAGGGGAATTTTTCTAGCACACTTCAAAGGGACCTGGATTCCCTTTTTTGCAAAAACACCCTAATGGTTTCAACAGAAGTTCAGACCTGTCTCCCTTTGATATATGGTTGCATTCAGAATGGAAAAAGCAGTCCCAGAGCTGAGAAACTGGACACTTCCCAAGTGGGCACAAAACCCCTTTTCTAGACCAGGGAGTTTATTTAAACAGGGAGAACTGATGATGGAAAAAAATGTCTTTTCTACAAATTCAGAGCAGCACATTCTGGGATTCTCGGAGTGCTCAGGTGAAGTGACACTCTATTCTCATTCCCAACCATTTTCCTCCCCCAGTGACTATTAATTCTGCCTTTGTTGCTTATCAGAATATCACACCATTAAAAAGTACATATGGTCTATAGGCAGCTGATGACTCGAAGATGCCTGTACCTCCAGGAAGTTGTGGTGTGATGGCCAGAGGAGAAGGGATGATACAGGATATTTCCGTGTCTTCATAACACATACACACAGCAGCATCACCACCACATTTCCACTCCAGGCTGGGCTACTTCTGCATTCAGCAAAGCCTCTATTTCCCTTAACAGATGCTATCATCAAATAACACCCCAGCACCGTGGCTGCTGGGCACCTCGACTGCAGGAGGTTCAAACATAAAGCCAAGATACTGATGTCAGGGGCTATTCTAACGGTATGGAAAAGACATGGGTCTTGCACTGTATCTTGGAGGATGCTACATCCACACTGAGCACAGGGAAGCTCTATCAAGTAATAGGAGATTCGATTCCAAGAATTCAGTTATTAGTGTTGGTGTGATCTAGTTTAGGAATAAATTATCATTCCTACTGCTGAGACACAGTATGGTGTACAAGGGAGTTTCTGTAACGCCAGGGTTACACATCAGTTATACCTCTACAGAACACCAAATAAACTACAAATTCAGAATCTGGAATATAACACAAAAATTTAAACAGAAGCAATGTCTGTGCATGGTAGTCACACCTTACAGAAAATGGGCAAGAAAGTTCTGTTCCAGCTAACACTTGTGAGAGTATTTTAGCTGCAGCCATGGTCTTTGTTAGCAGAGAGCTGCAGGACTACAGCCTGCTGGAAATGCAACGCGCCTGGGGTCACCCCTCCTTGGAAGGAATCCCTCATTAGAGCTCTACCCCACTGCTCTTTATTTCTGCCCTTGTTCTAGACCTTGATGCGGGGGAAAAGAAAAAAAAAAAAGTGTCGCCACATTTTCATCTCGGGGTATTGGAAAATACCCCATAGTATTTCCCCACAAATACACTAACCAAATCTGGAAAAGTTACCTTCTTCCAGACCCATATGGCTTTTCCTCTTCCTTGCACACTGGCAAGGCCGTTCCCATGCAGAGAAGCTGTGCCCATATGAGTAAGACCCTGGCTTCTCAGCCTTTTCCAGTAATTTGTTCCACACTTTGTATGATGGAAGCTGAGGTTTTCAAGGTCAGACATAATAATGGCACATTTTAGAGCATGTCTATCATGTCATCACTTCAAGCAATAGGAGCACGTGTATTTCTGCAGCAGAACATAACAGAGAACATTCTCTGCAATGGAGACAAAGACCATTGGCTCTGATTGCAAGCAGAGAGGACAACCCTAACATGGAAATGATTGCAAATGGCACCTACCAGCTTTCAGCTTCTCCCTCTTGCAATGTCCCACCTGAAGGTCAGATCGTTGCAGGGCAGGACCCCAAGCTGCTGAGCAGGAGCCCAGCTCTCCCCAACACCATGCCGCACCTCAGTGGTATTTCCAATCGACAGCCTGAGCAGTGCTGCCTTGGATCCAGCACTGGGTCTTTGTGGCAGCATCTGCATCTCCCACCCGAAGCCTGAGCAGGCACGTGCCTGTTTCGCCTGTCTGATCTGACAAGGTCACCCAGCTCCCAGCAGTTCCATAGGAAGCACTTGGCTTTCTCATCTGGTTTATTAGCTGTCACTTTGGGCACTTTGCGCTGCTTTGACTGGCATCACAGCAACCGCTTCCCTTCATGTCCTGCCTTCCAAAGAGGCTTGCGCAAGGAGGGAGGGCGAGGAGGAGAAAAGAGGTGGGGGGGGGGAAAAATCCCGGGCCTCTAAAGATACAGTGTGCAGTACAGTGAAGAGGATGCAAACTTAAACAAATCTGGTGCCAGAAAGATTTGTTTCTTGGGACTTTTAACAGCCTGGGAGAATTCATGTCTCCTTCCTGCTGCCCACGATCCCAGTCGGCTCCTTCTTCAAGCGATGCTTCACGTGTGAAGTTTCCTCTCCTTAAAAATGAACAGCTGTGCCCTCCCCTCTAAGTATTCTTCCACTTCTGCCCACTACTGTGCCTCTAATTGAACCCACATGAGCCGCGCTTTCTTTTCCTGGCATGATTGATGATGCCTTTGCACAACATTAGGGAGCTGCTGGGTTTTAAATAACACCTCTTGACCAGAGCAGCGGTGGTGGTAGCTTCAAGGAGAGATGACAACAAGTAACTGAATGAGCTGGGCTTTCAGCGAAGGACAAGGGGGAGGAAAGCAGGGAAAGACAAAGGGGGGGAAAGAGGGAGAAGAGAAGAAAGAGCGATGGAGTTGTCAGGGAGGTGGGAAGAAATCGGGGGGGGAAATGAAAACATCCGAGATCTTCTTTATGAGAAAGATAACACAAAGGATTTTGCTCCATCACTATGCAAACCCTCTTTTGTTGTTGTTCCTGAAGTCCCTAAATGAGGATGAGAGAGAGCCCAGGGGTCTGTAAACAGCTCAGCTTTTTTTTTTAAAATTTATTTTCAAACAGCAAACAGTTACTGCACATAGTGCTGAGGGTTTATAGGGTTTGGTGATTTTATGGAGTTTTAACAGAATTTGGGAATAGGAGCTTCTCAGAGAGCAGAGATGAATGAATTTTTTGCCCCAACACTGATTAAAATGGTGGCTTCAGAAGACACAGAGGCCAGAAAGTGCAGAAACTGTTAAGAACATTTTCAAAGACCCCTCAGATGTAAAAGATTGATTTGAAATGTGACTTGTGCCCCTACATCTCTAAGGTGCTTTTGAAAATTTTGCTTTTAATTCTCTGTTCACCCTTTTTTTCCTGCCTTTCAGTGAAATACAGAAGACAAATGTGGTTCAGATGCTAAACCAGGGTGTTTTCACTGGTCTGTCAATCATCTTCATCAGCATGCAGTGGACATGGGCCACCAGTGTTCAGTCTGCTCTTTAGACATTGCACCTCACCTCAGCCTCCTTCCTACCCAAGAGTGTGAAACATCAGCATGTGCAAAGCTACTTTCCTTCCTCCTTTTCCTTGTGCAGTCCCCCACATTGTCAATTAAATGAGACAAAAAGCTTTAGCACCTCAAATCAGTCAAACAAGCAAAATATCCAACTATATGACAACAGCGAAACAACCAACAGCTTTGTGCAAAGTTCCTCAATCACGGCAGAAAGTCTCTCTGACCACAGATAACAACCTACATGCTCCATCTCATCTCCAAATGCTTGTGATCAGGAGAGGAGCTGAAGCTGAGATGTGATTGGGGAAGGAGCACAATGCAATTCAATACAACACAATATGAGAAATCCACACCACGGACTCCGGATTTTCTCAGATAATTCATTTCTTGCCTACACGTTCCACAAGTTCTGGCTTGAAGCACCTGACGCAAAGAAATAAAACAAGATGATAGTGAAAAAAACTCTTCGTTCCTTTTCCACAGATCTCCAAAGCACATGAATAAACTTTAAAAGCATTTGTTTAATGTGTTTAGCTGAACATGGGTGTCTTCAAGATGCTCCACTCCTTCCCTGATTTGAACAGTGAATGCACAAGCGTTGAGCAAAACAAAGCCACTGGCCTCAGGGTTTTTAATCGGTGGAAAAAAGATGAAGTGCAATAGTAGAGCAGGGTGAGAGGAAGCGTGTTGTAATAGGCAGTGAATCACGTTAGCTAGGGGTGCTAAAATCCTCCACTCCTGTCACATGAGTCTGACCAAGGCTCTGAAACCAAACTTCTCAGAGCAAAGCCATATCCAGTTGTCTGAGCCTCCCCAGAAAACACTTCTTGCTTTTAAACAACACAACGCTGCTGAAACATGTTTAGGCTGTTTTATTTGGGTTGGGATTCCTGTGTGCTCAATGTACAGATCCCTTCCAACTCTTTCCTGGTTCAGCCATTCAGCCTTGTTTGAGAACTTGTTTTCTGCTCTGTAAAAATGCTCAGCTGGAGCTGGAGTTCTGGTGCTGATACCAATTAGGATGGAAGAGGCCCAGCTCGTGGGGTCCTATATTTGTTTTGTAATTGAGTTGAAAGGGCTGACTCATTCCCCTCAGCTCTGTGAGCTGATGAACACAATATTTCACAAATACAGACCGGCTGGGAGCGTGGCTGTCTGCCCCCAGCCCCTCCCCAGCCCCAGATCTGTGTGCTGTCCCCCACAACCTGCGAGAAGGTGCCAATGGGGGAAACCACCCCCACATCACGCTCATGGGATCCAACAGCATTAGAGATGACAGCAGAAATGGGGGTGCCTGCCCTGCACCCACGTATCCTGTGCACCCTGCTCCCAACAGCATGCTGAGCCTGGACCATGCTGAACATACACCTCGTCCACCTCCCTCAGCACAAGGTGGTCAAAACCACTACATTTTTTAAGTGTTGATAAGAAATTGATAGTTTTCCTCAATACTCCACTCACTGCAATAAGACATGCTGCTTTTGTAGGACTGGATCATTAATGCAGGGCTTAGAGAAGATGGGGGACTTTTGTAGGACTGGATCATTAATGCGTGGCTTAGAGAAGATGGGGAGCACTCCCTGGCCCACTGGGATAGGTTTTCAGTGGTTCGTTTGGAAAGGTTTGGGTGCTTTTTCCAGCCCCTTGATCCCATGCACTTCTGCAGTGTCAGGGTGAGGCTGGGAGAAGATGGACTGTAAGACTGCAAAGGAGTTAGGACATCGTTAGCCTCAATCTGAGGAATAAAAATAAGATCTTTTGCCCAGAAACTAGTTGTGCAAAACCCCAAACACCCCACCCCCAAAAACCAACCCAAGAAACACTGTTTGGCTGAGCGGAGCCAGTGAGATCAGAGAAGCCCTGAACATGTATTTAAACATTTTGGGGTGAAAATTTCTGAATTTGAGGAACATCTGAGTTTTTCTCACTCTCAGTATCTCTTCCTACAGAGTCCGATGGCTTCTATTCTGATGAGAAGCATTTGGATAAGGCCTTGTCCCAAGGCTGAGTTAAGATTTTGGGGTTTAGGGTAGGTTATTTCTCAATTTCTCCACATTTGTTTGCTCATCCCTGTCTTGTGGGTCATACAAAACCAGCAGCACAAACCTGGCTCTTGCTGAGATCATCATCTCGCTGGACTTGCAAAATGTAGCCTGTCTTGCAGCTCACATTGCACTGGGCACCGTTGTACCACCCGCCGCCGGTGCAGGTCAGCAGCGCGTTCTCGATCTCCAGCTTTTGGCAGTCGGTGGCTTCGCAGGAGTAGTGGACACAGCTAGGTGAGAGACAAGAAGTAGTCTTTTTATTCAATTAAATTAATTAATATCACAAGAACAAGTGTGTTTGCCTGACAAACTCATCACATGTTGGGCAGCAGGTACACATGCATCCTTAATCTGACTCTGCACAGGGCTCCTCACCAACGAGCACCCCTCCAGGTATGTCTTCTGAAGAACAGGGACAGTGGCAACGGTGATGACAATGAAAGCAAGTTACAGGTCTTGTGGCAAAAGGGAAGAGCCTCCCAGTTCCACAGAATTACCTTCTGTTCTGCAATATTCACAGAGGAGAAACTGCACTGTGGCCTTCCTATTCCTCTAGTAACATGCAGATCCATCCATCGATCCCACAAGAGCATTCTCCTTCCAAGAGCCATCCCTACGCTCCATCCAATTTTAAATCTCTGCTGAATTCAGCAGTGCCTGATATTGCCAGTGATAAGAGCGCATGTGTATATGTGTGAGGAGGGGTTTCTGCGATAAACACTCTTATCTTTGAGAAACTCGATGGAAATCAACATGTTCATTTTATTCCACTTCACGAGGAACACCAAGCATCAGCTCTGTAGCTGTGTTGATAAGCTCTTATCAAGCTCAGCAGCATGCTGTCATTTCAGATCTCTCCGGTTGCTGTCCTGCCATCCATAAAATGTTTCCCCGGATGGAAACTCTGCTCTCCCTACAGTAAATTATTGTAACATTTAGCACAACTTGTAAAAAGAGGTTTTTGGTTTACTTTTGTATACACAGAGATGACTGGTTGACACCAAATCTTTTGCCATCTCTGATGACCCGAGTCAAGCGTTATAGCACATGTTCAAATGTGAGTATGGGGCAGACCCTCAGCTAAAGGGCAATGGAAATGCTGAGAGTCTTAAAGCATGTGCAAAGATGCTTTGCTGGATTAGAGACAAAATTTCTGGGGTTAAGGATTCCTACAAGGTGATATGCCTCTCCTGAAAATGAAACTGAATTTAAATTAAGTCCAGTCAAAGTAATTTTGAGGAGGGAAAACCTCAACTTATTTCACTAAGTGGGTAAGGAAGAAACTGCAACACAGAAAGTTATAGAAAGAAGGGAATGGAGCACATCAATACACATATATGAAATGGATTACAGGCAAGATATTCATGTCTCCTAGAAAAAGGGTTAACAGCCACCAAAACCCCATCCACCTTAGTAAGCACAGGACTTAACATGTACATGGTGTTTTGCTGTTCAAAGCACTGTGCAGACATTATCTAATTAATTTTGATGACACCCCTGTGAGACACCTGGGCTGGTATTGTTATCCCCATGTTACTGATAGAGAAGCACATCTGCACATGTCTCCACTGAGCTCTAGATCAGATTAAATGACAGTATTATGTAGCTCCACAACTCATTTCTCTGTCCCAGACTAGTGCTATATGGGAAGTGCCCGCTGCTTGTAATTTAAGGTTGCTTGTTCAGTGGTGGCCCTTCCCTGGAGTGCGATGAGCCATAAACAATTTCTACATTCAGAAAGATCTTATTTCCTCATTGTGCACAAAGTATTGTGGCTGACAGGACTGAGGAAGGAGAATTCCACCTCTGTGGTGGCCAACTTGATAGCCCTGTATGCGACATACAGTGCCCCATCAGCACTGCGACTCTGATGCTCATTACTTCTGCTGAACAGATGATCCTCTGCCAGAGTTGACCTACACAGAGTGATCCTGCCTTCAGTAGGATCCCCCCTGTCATGTCAAGGGTTTCACGCATGTTTTCCAGTCACTGCAACCCACAGCCTGACAGAGAAATTTAAACTGCCATTGATTTTACTTTGCATCGATCAATGAGGCTCTGGATGAGATGGTGGAAGAACAAGTGGATAGTATATCCTGGTACCCAGGTGGTCTCCTCTTGCAGAGAAATGAGGTGAGGAGAACAGACACATGCAATTGCCGTGTAAATGCCCAACATGAATCACCCAGGAGTGTGAACCACAAACCTTACTCTGCTTCGGCAGCAGCCCCCAGGCAGCCTCATGTACTGTGGCTCCCCCGGCAGAGCAGCACCTTACAGAATCCCAGAATTGCCCAGATTGGAAAAGCCCATTAAGATCATCAAGGCCAATCATGAACCCAACTCTGACAAGTCCCCGACTAACCCATGTCCCTCAGCACTATGTCTACACGACTCTTCAATCCCTCCAGGGATGGGGACTCCACCACTGCCCTGGGCAACCCCTTCCAATGCCTCAGAACCCTTTCAGCAAAGAAATTCTTCCTCACATCCAATCTCAACTGCCCCTGGCACAACTTGAGGCCATTTCCTCTTGTCCTGTCACTTCTTCCTTGGTTGAACAGACCCACCCCCACCTCTCTACACCCTCCTTTCAGATAGCTGTAGAGAGAAGAAGGTCTCCCCTCAGCCTCCATTTCTCCAGGTTCAACAACCCCAGTTCTCTCACAGCACTGCTAGTTGAGTAAGTCACCACCTAATGTTAGCAAGAATATCTGAACGTGGATGTTGAGTGAGAACGTGAATGATGAATGACATCTTGTTGAACCCTCCTTACATGTCCCAGTTACACTGACCCATGAAGGCTAACTGTCACTTTGCTCCCCTCTGTTTTTCAGGTGGTGAGGTTGCAATACAAGTTCCTTCTGTGCCAGGCCTTCAGTGACAAGGATGTTGACTCATTGAGGAAAAAAGCCAGCACCATTGCCAAGCCATTCTCAGAAGCACATATTGCAGACCTGGACTGCCCACTGCAAAACTCTCGCAAAATCTGAAAGCCTTTTCACACTAAAGTTGGAAAAAGAAAATAATAGCAGACCTATTTCATTTAACATCTCATGTGAATCAATGTGCTACATGTCGATGTAGCACTGAATTCAGCCTTGAATGGCTTCAGAGGGAAAGATGAGCCCAAGAAAACCTTTGCATTTTGCACAAAGGGAAATCTGGAGCAACGTCACCGCAGTCAGTGGCATCGCTTTTCACTTCCATCAATGTAAAGGAGAAAAAGAATCTGTTTTCTTGAGTTCATATCAGGACACCAGATGAACAAGCCTGGGCTTAAAAGTCCTACAGAACTGAAATGCCACAGACAAAGGCATTAAGAAACACTTATTGTGATGTTCTTCTTTCTGTTTACAAGTCCCCTTGTGGTCTTCTTAAATGGCTAGGGAACATTTTTAGCCACCCCCTCCAGGCTCCAGATTATGCTTCGGTTAGCAGATCATCTGGGCAGCTCTCTCTGTCTGTAACTCTATATGAATGACTTCAGTGACAAACAATACAACCATTCACTTTTTGTAAAAAAACAACCACTGCCACCAAATGTTTCCAATTTAAATATTTCTGGTTCTCTAGCTACTGGTTCCAATTTGGTATCAGCTACTGTCAGCCGTAAATCCCAATGAATTTTGAAGTCATGATTGAGTTCTGCAAATACAGAAGAAAGAAGGAGAAACGAATATCTTCAAGTAGGAAGTTTAGACAAAGAACCCATCACATCCATATTACAGAATTGTGGGTTACAGAAGCTCTTGCATGAGTACTGCCATTTAACAGTGGTTAATCATCACATGCTCCAGAAGCTATGCATTCCTTGGGAAAGAAACAATATGGAGTATCTGAGAATGAAATCCTGGCATTGGACAGCTTATCCCATTTTCTTGCATTCAAAATTGGGTAACTTCATCAAAACCACCCATTTCAAATCATCCCTGGTCTATCCTAACTCCCTAAATGCACCTGGGAATTGCTTGCCACAGTATGAGCTGGTGTGGATAGAAGCTATGCAAGGGCACCCAAGGACCACTCTAATGATTTACTAATATATATCTACCAGACAAGTGTCAGTGCCTGAGATATTCTCTGACAGTGTTTATTTTACTAGGTCCAACTCAGGATTCACCTGCTCCTGTTCTTGTCCTGGTAATGTATGTTTTCCTAAAGCAACATTTTCACACAAAGCTGAAGGAGCAGTGGATTTCTTGCACACGTTCCACTGCCTGCAGCGTGATCAAAATATAGATCAAGGGAAATCATTTCTATGATGTAAAAAGCCCTGAACTGAGTTCGCTTCACATGTAGGCTGAAGTTCTGAGCCAGTTCTTACTTTATTCAAATCCGCTCTGCCCATCCCTAATCTAAATGAGCTCAGTCATTAGCCTCTAAATCTTTATTTCTCTGCGCCAATATTGGCCCCAATTCAGCAAGGCCCTTAAATACGTGCTTCACTTCAAAAGCACGGTTAAGTCCCACTGATAGATTTGACTACAGGAGGATGTAAGCAAATAGCTAAGGGCTTTGCTAAATTGAGGACTTAGTGACACAATCCTAGAAACAGTTGTATTTTAACATGTTTATAGGGAATTATAACAATTAAGTGGAACTCTTCCTTCCTCACCAGGATTTCCTCTTTCGAAAAGCTTACAGCAGCCAAACTTTCTTTTTCCTAACCTTGAGGTCAAGCACTTTTCCAAGAACTCATCTTAACATAGTGCCCTAATTATTTGTTTCCTTTGTGATAGCTCTGACACGTAGATATACACAGGTGAGCACTAAAGATCACGGCATACGCTTGTTATAAGAAGAGCCACAACATTATCTATCTCACATGGGAAAAACTTTCCTCTCCACAGTTCAGACCAGCCTTGGCTGCAGATCTGACTCATACTTTGGTTTTGTTCTGTGCCACCATATGTACAACTCATATAGAGGTAACTTTCTGAGGGTGTTTTGAACAGATTTATTCTTACAGTAGGTTTGTCTTGTCCTCTGTAGAGACTCCCCTAAAGGCAAGAGCAGGTTCTTTCTATCTAATCCCACCATATATGTGCCATATTGAAAACCAAAGGCTGCTAGCCACATTCCTTGTTGGAGAAATAAAAAAGTATGAACTGCAAAGCTGGCAATGAATTTATCTTATTCAGTCTTCAGCTAAAAAACCTTGGTCTCCTTGTACTAACACAAAATCTCAAAGAACATCTACCCGAATACCTGGGGCTCAATGGGGACTGGTGAACCTCTACTGACTGTGCCACTGGAAGAAGGACCAAGCCTTTCCATTTCAGGTGTTTGCCTTCAAATTTGGTCCTTGACAATGACCAAAAGAGCAGCATCACCTATGGTCCTTTCAGTGATCTTGCTGCTATACCATTGGGCCTGACTCGAGTAACGATCACAACAAATCCTTAATTCAGATTGATAGTGTCAGGAATGTGGATAAACCCAGAGATTTACAGAAAACATTTGATCCAACCCCAGGTAATCTGTGAGGGTAGGAGAGGCATGAGCCAGCACATCCCCACCACTATCCCCACCACTGGCAGGGCAACATTCTCCCTGGGGACTGGCTCTGCCTTCAGGCTGCCTGCACCCCGTTGTGTGGGATATTCCCACCCGGGGGGGTCCATATTGAACCGATAAAGCTCTCACAGCCCCTTCACCCTGCCAGCCTGGAAGTGGGACCGTGTGCCTGGGCGTTAGCAGCCCTGCAGGTCTCCCTGCCAGAATCTGTCCAGGCAAACAAAGAAAACGCATCGCCTTCCACTTTAATAAAAGCCAAATGATGCCGTTTGCCAATTACCAAAATGGGGCGAAGGTTAAAAACCCATTGAATTATAACACATGTCACTGACCAAAGCTTCTATGATTAACAGTTCTGTGAGAAATTCATTAATTTCACCAGCAGCAAGCTGACAGAGATTGCGCTTAATGACAGAACACAGGGCAGGGGAAAGGCAGCTGAATTGGGAAAGAGAAAGCTGCATTAAATCAAAAAAAGAGAAAAAAAAGGACAGGGGCAGACCCTTCCCCCCCTCCTTATAAAAAGAAAAAAAAAAAAAAAAAAAGGAACTGGAATTATAAAGGGTGGTTGCATTTGTTCTGCTGCTGAAGATTTATCTTCATCATTTCTTGTTGGGGAAGCTGACAGCAAGAGAGAACAAGACAAAGAGAAGAGCTGGAGAGGGCTATGTCTCCCTGGGGCTTCTTTGGGGCAGCAAAGGGTGAAGCTCAGAGGATGGCTCTCCACAGAGGCCAGGGCAAGGGCAGGCAATGGCATGTTGGCCAGGAGTGAGTCTTGGTCCAGTATTGGTCCCTCCCCAGCTGTCAAACACACAGATGTGCACACTGATGAAGGAAGGTAAACCCAAAATCTCCCCTGCAGAAGCAATTTTGCAGCCATAAAAATGAGTCCATGCCAAGATTTAACCAAAGAAAGGAAAGGAAAATATTTTTTGCTGCACTAAGTAGAAAGCACAAGGAGCTGCAGAACATGGGGCACGCATGCCAGAGAGCCACAGGCAGCCAGAGCCCACTCCAGGGCTTATCTTCATTACAAACATGGAGTTAATGGAGGATTAGGAAGCTGGAAACTCCTGAAATCCACAATTCTGACAGCTGAATTGAGGTGTCTACCTGGGTTTTCACGCTTCCTGCCTGCAGCTTCTGGGAGAGGAGCAAATGGCAGCAAGTGGGATGGAGGAGGGGACAGGTCCCATGAACGCAGCAGGGAAAGCAGCAGTTCACAAGGGCTGCCTTGCCAGGGATGGGAGATCCCCAGCTGATGTTTCCTACATGGTGAAAAGGACAAAAACCTGATTTCTGAGGAACCACTGTCACAGGCAGCCCCAATGCACCAGGCTTTCTTGTTGCTCTAGTGACTGCAGGGTGGGAAATTATACCTCTGCTTCTGCACACCCAACTTCACTGTCCACTCCATGAGGTTAAAGAGGAAACAATAAATAATAATTTGAGCTATAAAGCACAAGAGAAGAACTATCTGGACCATTATATCTGGTCTAAGGATGCAATGCGAAAACAAAGCGTGTAGTTTTTACAGCACACCTCCAGCAGTGAGGTAAACTTTTGCTGAAAACAAAAAGAGAGCCTGTGGTCAACTGCAGCAGAAAATCCAACAACTGGAAAAACACAACTGGAAAGTGCAGGGGTTTTTTGGGGTTTTGTTTTGTTTTGTTTTTTGAACCCTCTATAAATGTCTTCAGAAGGCTGGAATGGATTTTCAAAAGAGCTAACAATGACTGAGAACAACTACCCATAAAGTTCAATGGCACTTTTGCATTTAAGCTCCTTTTTCTCTTCTAAAATAACAACTGTAACACATATTTTAAGAAAGAATGAGTGCATGTTTTATTTTCAGTTATTAAGTTGTCACAAACCCATGGGAGTGATCCATTCACCCTCAAAATAAAAGCTGTGTTAACTTCTAAGGGCCGATACATTTCTTTTCCCCTCGCATGTTTAAAATCTGCACCCTGGCCTAGAAGTGTCTGTATCTGGCTATAAATCCTCTCCAACCAAAATAACTCTCCTTGAAGACAGAGAAATAATATGTCTTGTAGACAGAAGCCAAAAAGTAGGCAAAAATATCCATGTTGACCTAAGGAAAATGAAAGCGGTAAAATTGATGCTTAACACATAGGAAGGAAAGTTCCTTTAAAAATCAAAGAAATACTTTAAAAATCATATTAGGCAAATGCAACCGTGGGGGAAAGGGCAGAAGGGAAGGATGGGCAGTGTGGGACTGGCACCAAAGGGAGTCTGGTGGGGACAGCGTGAGCACGGGAGGTAGAAAACCTACATCCATCTTCTGGATTAGTTAAGAATAAATTTTTAAAAATCCCTTTTTCTGTGTTCTTCCTGGATTGGGTAAAATAACAAAGGAAAAAGAGGGTGGTCAGACACTGGAACAGGTTGCCCAGGGAAGTTGTGGATGCTCCTCCCTGGAAGTGTTTAAGGACAGGCTGGATGAGGCTTTGAGCAACCTGGTCTAGTGGAAGGTGTCCCTGCTGCTGGCAGGGGGGTTGGAACTGGATGAGCTTTAAGGTCCCTTCCAACCCAAACCATTCTTTGATTCCATGGCAGGTGACATCAACCTATTTCCTGGCTGCACAACTTAATGCACAACTTTCTCTACATCTTGGATACCTGAACTGCTCAGAGTGTCTTCTGCAGAGGAAGAAAACATCTATGGTCACCCAAAATGATCCCAACAGAGGCAAATTGGAGATTTTCCACTATAGCACCATCATCAATGGAAAAAAATCCCACTGATTTCAATTGACTTTGGGCTTTATTTCAGAGAATTTCTAATTCCTTGACTGACATGGGAAACTTTATGATCAAACCAGCATTGTAACCTACCAGACCTAAAGTGTTATTTTGAACGAGTGAGGCTCTGATGGAAGTTTTTTGAGAGCTGAGATGGTTCAGTGCATCTCAAAAACAAAACAAGGCAAAAAAAAAAAAAAAAAAAAAACCAACCAAACCCCAAAAACAAAACCTCAAGAAGAAAAAGAAGAGGCAAACGGCGGGTGATTCTTCTTCAAGAGATTTCTAAAGGTTAGTTTGCTGGGCTGCAGAGCCTCACTGAAGCTTTGCCTAGGGGAATGCATTTTTTATTAAGGAAATAACTTTCTAAACACAGAGCACTTCTAATTTCGTAAGTGAACAAATGGTTCAATTCCCCCTGAAAACTTGAGAGGGAGGAATGTTGTCCTGTGTCTCAGCCCTTTCGAGCTCCCTGTTGCTTCTCACCATCTCCTTCCAGTGGGGTTTTCTCGCTCTTTTTTCTGTCCTGCTCTCGCACTGGGATTTGGCCAAACTTCCACAAGAAGACTTCTCATCTGAAACTTGATCCTGCTGTCTTTGGGCCTCTGAATTTATACAACCTATTGCACAGAATGATCAGACTCCTCGAATCTAGGTCAGAACACACTGACTGGATTGATCTAGCTATAGATATACTCCTCTCTTTTTTTTTTTTTCCTTTTTTTTTCTTTTTTTTCATTTCATTTTATTTTCCCTTCCCTCTCCCCCTTCTCACCCTCCCGCCTTTCCTGGAATAAAAGCAGGTTCTAAAAACAAGCCAGAACATTATCAAAAAACCTGACAGCTTGCTTAAGAAGCTGAGCAGAGTTTGCAGGGATATGCAACTTGTTTTACTATTGCTGCCGCTGTGGTATGACGACTGCTCACAACTTTGAATTCACAAAGGGGGAAAAAAAAAGAAAAAGATATATTCTTTCAGGGGTTTTGCTAAATTCTCCCCTCTTCTTTTCACAGCCTTGTTGAAAGGATCCATGAAGCTGCTGCACCAGAGGCCATGAAAGGTCACAATCTCTGTGGGATGCTGTAAAGCAGAGACTGAGAGGGGTTGGTGGTGATCTATTGATGTGTCTGTAATAACAACAAGAATAAAACGGTAGCCATAAACCTTTCATCCTGGGGGGTCCCACAGAGCTTTTCAGAATGTGGGCTGGATCCAGAGAGGTACTGAGGGCCCTTACCCGGCCATAAAAGCACCACAAATTATGGTGGCCAAGCACCCACTTGCATGGGGCTGAGCACCTTGCAGGATCCGGCCCCACTGGGGCACAAGCATCACTTTGTCTCCGCGCGACCGCTTCCGTGGGAGGTCCCTGTAGCACTTCAGCAGCACAAAGCAGTTTAGATTGAAGCTGATGTGTGAGTGGCAAAAACGATGCCGCACTGGGGAATGTATGGAGAGTTAACTGGCCCCAATTCCAAGCTTGGGATAAAGGAGGGAGGAGAAAGGAAGAGGAAATAATTCACTAACAGTATCCCATGTGGGTTAAATGTCCCATCCATCCTGATCAATGAGAACACTGCCGGTTTTTTACCAGCCACACAAAAGGGTCAGCAGGGTTCAGCTGCTGTGCCCCTCCTGCCTCCTCTTAACCCCCGGCGCAGGCGGGCGTGCGGGGGGTGGTGGGTGGTGAGGCAGAAGGAAGCAAGCTGAGAGGCTCACCTCTGCTCCGTCGGGCTGTAGGTCTGTCCTCGTTGGCAGCTGCTGATGGTGATGGGGTCGAAGTTGTGGAAGGAACGCAGGGCCACCCCGGAGATGGCCACAAACTGGGAGCTGAAGCTAATGAGGACAGCCTGGGTGTGATAAAAAGGGTGACTGAGGTCATGGATGACGGGGATAATCAGGGGATTGTTCCTGCAGCTCAGGACGTGGACACCTGCCAGAGGAGAGACAAGATCAGAGGAAGGGTCAGACTTAACACAATCGCTTCCCCAAGTTGTGGGCACTTCAGAAGCATTTCACCCATAGGAACGGCCCTATAGGGCTGAAAAGTTATGGTAAGCTGCCTGGAGGGGCTTCCCAAATCGCTTCGGAGAGCTTAGCAGAGAAGTATATGCCTCCAGACAGCTGAAGAAAGGCTGCCATTCTCTCTGCAAGCGTGGCAGGCTCTCAGAGCAGTTTCTTTAGACCACAGCTACATTTCTATTGTGCTCTGTTAAATCAGGAGCAACCATCACGGAGGAAGCGGAGTCGCACTATTGTAAAACGGGTCTGAGGTGACAGTTGGAGCCTTTAGACTGGACATCAAATGGTGCCGGCAGGCTGGGTGGCTTTGTGCACCATGGGCAGTGCCCCAGTGGCTTGTTTGTAGCTGTGCCTGTCATTAGCACTCAACGTAAAACTTTTTTGCATGAGCTTTACACTAAATGTGCCCAGTTTTGATTTTTTTATTATTATTATTTTCAGCCTTGGAGTATCTTGCTCTTTGCTAAAAAAGGGAAAGATGGTCCTGGAGAGAGAAATGAGAGTGATGGACCCACTGAGGATTTTACAGGTGATCTCATTTGAGAAGAAAATAATTGTCTCAGGAAAATAAAAGTGTCTCAAGAGGTTGAGGTGCACAGAAGCACCAGAGGGGTGACAAGGAGACTTCTTAATCCCTTTTCTTCAGCAAAGGCGGCACTCAGTGATAGTCAGGAAGAAATTCCCACCTTCAGGTAGAAGCAACCTGAATTCAAATGGGCCAAATCCATCTCAGGGGTAACTCAAAGGACAGAGAACTGTCGGTTCGCCTCAAAATTCATTAATTGAGATTCATGGCCTGACGGCTGCCTGCAAAGCCCTGCCTCTGCGGCTCCGTGGCATCGCTCCGAGGATCAGCTTGGCTCCAGCTCCATTCACTTCACTGGAGCTCCCCCAGCAATGGCTTTGGCCCAGGCCCTTTGGCTACCCTGATACACTTACGAATTTGAAAATAAAATAAATTCTATTTGCATGTTTCACTGGCTCAGGGATTTCTTTTTTTTTTTTTTCCTATTTTTTTTTTTATGTTCAGGTTTCTTGACTCAAAAGGGAAGGAATAAAAAAGTTTTCATTTTTCTCCCTAGAAAGTGATTTCCTGTGAATTCAGACAGACTTCTGACCACTCTCTTTAAACATCTATCTCCCACCCTCTACTTTAAAAAAAAAAAAATCTTCCTGTAATAAAATAAAATAAAAAAGCAAACGTCTTTTTGTTTTGGTCTTTACCTGACCCTGAAATAACCTCCCTGTCTCCTTGCCTCCCACAGGTCTTTTGATATCAGCTCCTTGTGGAACGGTGCACGTTTCTCACTTACAAACAGGTGCAGTTAATACTCAAAATCCCAGGTTCCCAAATTCCTTGGAAGTTTCTGCCTTCTCTGATGGAAAGCCAAGAAAGACCTTATGGTATGAGGCTGTTTATTCACTTCAATTTCATTCCTTGCACTCAGGTGGTGTCCACAACAAAACAGACCCTCAGAACTGTGCTGCAATTGCTGGTGCTTTCTGACCCAGACAAGGTAAACGGGGACTGAACACATCAAGTTCATTTAACTAACCCGCCTTCATTAGCAAAAAACCACTCAAGAGAGTACCGGTGCCCATGGCAGGGGATTTAGAGTTGTCTCCATGCTTGTCCCTGTTCCTGTAGCTCTGTATCCACCCAGCAGCAGAGCCCCAGGGTCTACCATGGCTCTGAACTAACAGCACTGAACTGTTTGGCATCTCAACCTCTACATCTCCTACTGAGACTCAGAAGAAGCTTCTTCTCATTATTTTCTGAGTGTCCACACGGTAAAAACTTGCCCTGATCAAGGTGGGAAACTGCACCTCTGGATAACCTGTGTTTTGCTCATGGGAGTGTCTTTAGCACACTGAGGACTGATCAAGCTTTAAATTATTGCTCCTTCCTTTTGGATGTACTTTTCATTTGCTGCTGACTTCTGCTTAAGGCTGGCTGACCATCTGCAGTCAATCCTGCATCCATTGCACGCCAAAGTTTGCATCTCAGCTGCAGTTTCTAGCTTGCCATGGTGATAATTCAAACACATCCAATAGAACATCCAGGAAAAGGACTTAATGCCTCACCCAGAACCCAGACAAAAGAGTAACTGGGAGCTCTATTTGAGTGAGAACTGCTGGGTAGCCTACCTACACCTCTCCTCTGCTCCAGGCCAGCCTCTTCTGAAAAGGTCAAAGAGGCTTTTCCATGATGAAGGCAGAATTTCAGCTGTGAAGATCTCCAGGCGTCAGTCTGAGCCGTGCCAAACTCATGTTGCAACTTCATCGAGGATTTCAAAACCTAACCCTCAGTTTCCTCTTTGCTCCTCTTTCTTGTTCTCTTTCTCTCACAATCTGTCTGTCTGTCCCTATAAAATGTCACATTAAGTATTTGTTGG